CATTAGATCATCTCTCCGATTTAACACTTCTTATGCTTAAAGATGGCGCTTTATTTGAATACACTTTTTTTCCTTTTTTTTCTTTATTGCCGGAAGTACTTATATTTATGACAACGCTACTGGTGCTATTTGCTGTCGTCCGTAAATTTTGAGTTTCTTAGCAGAGGGATGGATGACCGTCAGCAACATCCTAATACCCATCATCATTAATTGATTAATTGTTTCATTTCCTACTTAATGACGAGAATGGTATGACTATGGAACACAAATATACATTATAGCTTGGGTATAAAACATTTATTTTTCTAACACGGCATTTGGTCCTTAGAATGGAATTCCTTCACATGTGATAGATGCAATAAGTTTAAGAAAGACTAAAGTGAGGCTTGATAAATACTTAAATAATAGGAGCTAGCTTTTGATATAAAACAACAACATGTTTAGTGGATGGGACAGCCTAGAATGAACCAATAGGTGTTATGTTGTCCTTAAATTTGACGTTAATTATAGCATAACTCATTGCTTACAGAGCGAAGAATATATATATATCTATTTGTATCGTACGGATTCGAAACCGGCTCATCAGCTCTGAAATCCTGAATTTTGCCATAGGGCCAGCCTGCGCCTATTTCTACCGGAATAAAAAAATAATTAAAAGTTAGATAATGAAACGAAGTAATGATTATATTGAACGTACTGTGTCGCTTAAATAAATTATCGAATGACAATATGTAGAATTTGGATGTGTAAGAATGTTACAATATTTATTCCAAGCTTTTAGTGGATTGACTACACACTGCTATTTAGAGCTATTACTAAATTAAAAAAAAAATAATTTTGTTTTTGTTTGGAATTATGCACAAAGCTACACAATGGGCTGTCTGTGCTGTGCCCACCACGGGTATCGAAACCCGGTTTCTGGCGTTGTAAGTCCGCAGACATATCGCTGTGCCATTGGGGGCAGTACTGGATATAGAAGCTTATCCAGAATTATTGGTTGAAGTTATATTATAAAAAAAGTAAGCCAAGAAAAAAATTAGCATGTGATGCGAAAATCGAACATTACGTACATCATCTTTAGTCATCTTAGATGGGAGAATAGAGGGTAATATTGATAAATGTAACATTAAAGAATAGTTACATACGTAGTCTTTAACTAGATAAAAGTTTATTTGTTTGTAATTAAGCTACACCATAGGCTCCCTGTGCTCTGCCCACCACGAGAAACGAAACCCGGTTGCTAACGTTATAGGTCTGCAGACATACCGCTGTGCTACTGGGTGACCTGTATAAAAGATAAACCCAACATTGGGTAAACTGAAAATCGTAACTGAAGAGGACACCAGGATTGATTGATTCCATAATGCGAGAAACAAAATAAACCGAATACTGAATCGTTCGTTTGAAAATTAATTGAAACATTATAACATATTACGTTAATGACAACTAAATGGAACTTACTATAAATAAAAATTAAATTGGGAATTACTTACCATGTACTGTAATTTATCTGTTCATACTGTGAAATCTAGTTAATAAATGCACGTCGCCGAAATTAGCTTAAAAGCAATTTCTGGAGTTTATAAATTAAATCTTGAGCTCCGATACCGAATACTACAGATATGTAAATTTCGTGATCCTTAGATGTGAATTTGTAAAAATTATTCAAAATAAGAAAACTTTAAGAAAAATAATTCAGCGTAAGTTACTTTTAAGAAACAAGAACATCGGGACTGTATTAATTTGAAAAGTTCAAATGAAAAGGAGAAATTTTATTTGTTTGAAGTTAAGCACAAATCAACACGATGTGATAGCTCTACTGTGCCCACCACTGGTTTTTAGCGTTATAAGCCTTCACACTTACCGCTGTGCCACTGGGGGCGGGGGGCTAAGAGGAGATGCAAAGCCAAGATTGATATGACTGGAGATTATTTACAATAATAAACTAAAAGATATGTTAATTTGCGTTTCTTGAAGTCGAAATATTTATTTACAACCCTACATGGTGTTATCACTGCAAGAAAAAACTGTGGCAAACGATATGCCTGCCAAAAGATTGACCAGGAAAAACTTATAAGTATATATTTTAAATTGGATGCTCATGATTAGATACTTTTTGGTTTCCATTATGATAATTTTCGGTGAAGTATGCCGAGGTCAATTTGAAACAAAGAACCTTGATAAACTTTTCATACACCCTACACTTCTCCACTGTATGTGGACGTTGATTTCCTAAACCACACTTGAGTAGGCCAAAGCACACATGTCTACTGGAAGTGTATGAGGGGAATTGAAAGGAACATGTTCAAAATGATGTGCGTTGATTTCAGTTTCATTGGCCCTATTTCTTATGAAAGTAGGCCCGGCATGGCCAGGTGGTTCGGGCGCTCGACTCGCAATCTGCGGGTCGCGGGTTCGAATCCCCATTACACCAAACATGCTCGCCCTTTCAGCCGTGGGGGCGTTATAACGTGACGGGCAATCCCA